GTATACCATGTAGTCCCAATGATAGTGTTTTCATACACTCAACAACTGAGTCCCCCATTCCCTTGACTTGAGTGTTGTTTTCTAATCCAAATGATGAAGGGACTCCATTGAATTTCACTTCATACAAGAGTTTTGCTCCAACAATTTCTGTATTGAGATTGTTGTTGAGGTAATCTTGTTTTGAAGTGTTGTATTCAACAATCACACACACTCTTTTGATGGATTTATTGTCCACACAACAAAAAAGATTTTCAATTTCATTCCATTCAAAATGTGGATACATATGGACCATTACATGATCAAAAGTTGTTATATATGACTGCCTTAGATGTTTGGATCATCCTAATAAACAAAATACACCTAACCACCTATTCATTAACATAGAAATAAAAAATAAAAAATAAAAAAAGGAAGAAGAGTTAAGTGGTTATGTGTGGCAGTCCATGTACTTCTGGTCTTGTGCTCTGGTCTGATGAGTCCCCTAGTTTTCATCAACCTCCATTTCTTCTGCTGCATCTCGAGTGCCTTGATTTTTTGGCCTAAACATAGTGTTTAGGTACTCCACAACTTCCATCACAACTTCCTTCTTCACCTCAACTTTATCTGGTGAAATTCCAAGATTTTCAAGCTTTTTCTTGTTCATGTGGGGTATTTTGTACTTGTTCACACCTTGTGCCTTTAGAATTTTGATCATACATCTCTGCAAAGTCACCCATATGTACTTGTTTGACTTTATGGTTGAATGTGTCATATGACTCAATGAGTTTCTCAACTAGCTCATCTAGGTTGCTAGGATAAGATTGATATTGCAAAGACTGAATTGACTTAAACAACCCTAAATCCAACACATTCAAATCAAGTGATTGTGCTGGTTGGAATACAATTTGAATGTTGAACCCATTTTTTGTTGTTGCTACTATGAACTCTTCATCTCTGGGCACTTGGTATGGCCTTCCATTGTCCCATTGAATGACCACATTTTTTGGAAGACTTGGAGGCCAATTTGACACAATGGCTGGTATGACCTTGGTCAGCAACATCTCCCTAATTACCTCTTTATTGACATTCTGAAGCGCCTTTGTTTCCCATGTGCCAGCTGCTCTGTTTTTGCTTGACTTCTTAGCTATCTCTTTCACAGTGAATGGGAATATGCCATACTTCCCATCATAGAGTAGTTCCCCATTTGTGCCATACAATGGCTTCCCAATGATTGCCATGAACATTTCCTTTAGCTTGAATCTTCTTGACTGTTATGCCTTATAGGGATATTCCTCTTTAGGAAGGAGATAAAATCTCCTCTTATCAGGATTGAGATAGAACCATTTCTCATCTATGTGTATGACGTGGCTCATGTCCATAAAAGTGGGGTCCTCATTTGCTGTCAGTGGGTTTATATGTGACAGAACCCATTTCATCCTAGCTACCTTGTGATTTGATGTCAGTGCAGGCTTGTTACTGCTTGTGTGTGTTCTCAGCCTACCCTTTTTCTTCAAATTATGAAGAGTGATATGAGAAATCTTCAGGGCTGCTGCATAACTTCTTTCTGACTGTCTTAGATGTAAAGGGACTGACTATAGGAATTCATCTGAAAATTATGTAGGAATCAATCATATTCCCCTATGCCATCTATTTTTTTATGTCACTGAATATTCTTGTGATTGTTGATTTGTGCACATTGAATTGAACTGATAACAACTTCTTGTGCCCCCTTGGTAAGTTCCCATCTTGCATTTTCAGCAACATTGCATCAACAATTTCCCTTCTTTACTGTAAAGTAAGTTGTTTCCTGTCTATTTTTGTTGAGTGCCATTCTCATTGAAAGCTTGCATGTCATGGTCATCTTCACCTTCATGTAGAATGTAGACAGCTTGTGTGCCTTGTTGCCCATTTTCTTCTTCTTCGTTTCAGAGTGCTCTAAGTCTTCATCCTGCATTTCCTCTTGTTGATCATAGTAGATTTCTGCCATTGTCTCCTTTGTTAGTACTCCCTCCGTCCCAAATTACTCACAACGTTTTGTCTTTTTGCACTATTCACACATCTCACTTTGACCATCTTTTCTAACTATTATATGAAAGCCAATGTAATCATGTAAGATGTTGTTGGGTCTCTTTTAATGTATAGTTTCTTAATATAAACTTTTTAAAGCTTTATAAATATATAATAAAATATATTGACGGTCAAATATGTGCATCGGCAAGCGTGTCCAGTCAAAATGTTGCAAGTAATCTGGGACAGAGGGAGTATATCAACATCAAAGAACAGAGCTTCAATAAATTCTGCCATGCCTTGTGTCTGATTTTTTTGTCCTCAGATTGAGGTTGATGATATAGGGCTGGCTACTATTTTTTTTGGGAAGGTGAAGCTGCTCTAAGTGAATATGTAGATGTTGAAGCTTGGTAGATGATGAAGATTGAAGATGTGAAGCACTAATTGTAGTTTAGGAGAATTTTTTGGGTAAATATGGGCTAATCGTGGGTAGTTAGTGCTAACTTTTTCTTAAACATTTCAATATTTGAATAATTTATGGTCCGTAATTAATTTTTCAACATTGAATTCTTTTGGATGTTGGTGGATGGTTTTTATAAGCCTCTTAAATGATAAACGCATGGTTTTAAATTCACAATTTAATTTGAATGAATACTAAAGTTTGGTGGAAAAATAGGAGGGAAAACTAAACCCACCAAAAAATTCATTCAATTCGAATTTTTGGTGAGAAAATGGGAGGGAAAACAACTCTCTCGTAAAAGAATCAGATTTTCCCACCATTTTGCATGTGGGCGGGTCTCCTTTTCTCTCTCCTATTACTTTAATTACTTCACAAAACTTTCCCTAATCTTTGCCCCTTAAGTTTTGCCTTGGTAACAGCAACCCCCTCCAAAGTTACACAAGATATTTAACGGAGGTAGTATATAGGACTAACATTATGAAACGGAGGGAGTATCAAATAGACTTATAGTGGTAATGCAATGAGTTTGAGCTAAAAGTCTTAGGTTCAAATATTCATACAAGCATTTTACTTATTTTTTTTATTTAGTGCCCCTCCACACTTAATATTCTACATCCATCATTGTTCAACTTTACAAGGTACGATAAGTTGGCAAAGTTTACATATACATATAGCCCAAGTAACCTTATTATGTACCTGATTGAGACACTGACCAGTGGCTACTGGCTAGTACCCAACGTCGAAATTGATCCATTAGAAGAGATTATGGGCCTCTGGTAGACAGAGAAGCTATTCCCATGCCCATTAGCAGTTACAACATGCCCAAACGAAGGCGGCCCATTTCAGCAACCATATTGTTTTTTTACTTGTATGTAGTTTGATTATCATGTGATAGTTTGATTGGACTTACAAAATTACACAACTTCATATGTGATAATATTTATGATAATATTTGTTCGTAGATAGATTTTATGTACTATGTATCCTTATCGTACTAAGTTTTCTAACGTAATCAGGACTAGTATTGTAAACTCAATATATATTGATTAATGGTACACACTCCAATTTGAGGAGTTTTTCCGAAATCTAACATGGTATCAGAGCTTAGATTTTATGACAATATTTGTCGCAGAGTAGGGTAGATTTTATGTATATTATGTATCCTTATCGTACTAGGTTTCCTAACGTGATTAGGACTAGTATTGTAAACTCTATATATATTGATGGTATACATTCCAATTTGAAGAGTTTTCCAAAATCTAACAATATGAAGTCGTAAACTCGTAACATCAAGGAGGGTTAATTCCAAGGGAGCTGTAAAGTATACACCACAAGTAAAATGGTGTCACCTTCACATTTCCAAAAGGAATATGGAAGGGAACAAATGCATTGGAAGTCAAGAGTTGGACCGAAAGAGAAATAAACTAACTACAATTGAACCAACCTTAATTAAGTACAAAATCCGTGCTCTTTAATATTAGCTTTGGCCTGACCAGCGGTAATGATGATTCATCTAGCATGCTTACAAGAGTCACAACTCACAAGGTACTCAAAGAGTCAAGCTCGGCTCAAGTGAGCTCAACTTGAACAAGTGAAGCTGAAGAAACAAGCTGACTCGAAACACTCACGAGTAGTCTCGGCTGTGTGCCTGTATTGATTATATTAGGAAAATGTGCTCCTTAACTGTATTAGAAATTTTAGTATGTAAGAACAGATTACCGTCTCACGAGTAATTACAGCAAGTATAATTAGTAACAAGCAGAACATCAGAAAATAAACCTATTCCTGAAAATTTTGAGCTTCACAAGCTTGAGTTATGTTGCAAGCTAACCCAACCTTAAGCATGAGTCATTGTCACCCTAGTCCTAGGCATTGGCGGACTTGGCCTTATGCCTGGTGGGTCAAATGACTCACCAGGGCCCAAAATATTTTTTAAGTTTTTTAAAAAAAATAAATAAATAAATTATTTTCTAAGTTTTTTTTAAAAAAAAAAAAATACTAACTTTGAACCTTTTGTTAATGTTGTTGGGTTTTTGATGAAATGTGAACCTAATGCTTGTACAAATTTTAATCTTGTCAATTATTAATTTGTTAATTATTAGAGAGCTAAGCTTGTCATGTTGTCAATTATTAGCTTGTTAATTATTAGTTTGTTAATTTTAGTCTTGTCAATTTTAAGCTTGTTAATTATTAGTTAGTACTGTAATCTTGTCAATTTTCTATTTGGATGATCTTTGTAAATAATTTTTCTTGGGAATTTTGGTAAATTTTTTCTTTTTACATATTTGGTTATCAATTGTGACTCACCAGTCGGAAATTCATGGGTCCGCCACTGGTCCTAGGCAACTAACACTGGAGTTGATCAATTTCGGGTTAGACAAAACAAACTGTTCCAAACCTTTAAGTGACTGAATCAGTGCCGGTGCTCGGTGCAGCCTGACACACTGTTCCTGTAGTGAATTAGCCTTGATACTACATTCATCGGTGTATAGCTATATTCTATGCCTTTTGAGATGTAGGAACAGATGAATCAGTGTTAAATAAATGAACAAAATTGAAACCATTTCCAGAAAAACTCAGATTTATTTGGTGTAATTTTTCTGATACAGCAAATGAGATTCTAACACAGCCCTTCACAATGTACATATAGCCTCACCATTTGAACACCAAAATTTTATACCCTTTCCCATCAAAAAACAAAAGAAAAAAAGAAACAGAGATTTAAAAGCTATATAAACATGCCATCTCCAACTTGTAACTAAACAAGTCATAATGTAGCTCACTATTGACTACAAAAGAACCTCCCTTAGAATCATAAGGGGGATCATATCCGGTAAAACTGAACTAGCTTCTCGGGTTATCTTCCAGTTTGCCATCATTCGGTTATGTTTTAGCTTTCTTCTCTGATATCTACGAAATGTATAACAGCTGTTTAACGCTGATCATTATCTGAGAGCATTGATGAAAGCCAAGAGTGAATCCACATCACGGTTTTCTGAAGGGTACTTGATGGGCTGAGATGAGTGTTTTGGGAAGAGAAGGATAGTTGGGAAGCTTCCGAGCTGCAATTCACTCTTGGCAAATGCCTTCTGATCACCATCGGCCCTGAACTTTCCTACCTTGACACCACTTCCAGCCAATTTGTCAGCCAGCTCTAGGTATGAACCTTCCATTGCCTGTTCAAACATAAAAAATAAAAAATATCAGTTAGTATAACCAACATTCTGCTAGATCAATATCAATGCAGGCGGATGCAAAAGAAAATCGGTGTCTAACCTGGCAAAATTGGCACCATGGTGCATAGAGGACGACAACCCATGGGTCTCTCCTGTCTTCCAATCTCATCAAGTTCTCAATTCCAGCTCTAGTCAACAAAACTAAGTTTTCTGACTCAAAAATGTCAGCAACCTCTTCATTTGATTGAGCACTACCATTCTGATTTTCGGAATTTTCTTTAATATTACCCTTGTGAAGGCCACACTCCTTCGCCTTGGCATCTTCCCACCACCACCTTCCTTCTCTCTCGTGCTGTCCAGGCAAAACAGGCCTTGTGCATGGCTCACACCCGATTGAGACGTATCCTTGGGAGTGCAATGAGTTAACAGGCACATTCATAGTCCTAAGGAAGTTCCACACATTGTCACCCTCAACATTGGCAACAGGGTTCCACTTCACAAGGCTACCAACACCACCATCTAAACCCTCGAAAACAGGGTCCACTTGAACAACAGGGACTTCAGAGCGAGTCCCAGGAGACTGGTCCTTCCTCTGCCCGGTAATCCAGGCTCGTAGACCCTTCAAGGCCCTCCTAAGTGGCCTCACCTTCCTTACACGGCAGCACTCCTGGTGTCCATCCTCGTAGAAAGAGAACAACCCCTTGTTCCTAACTAGACCCTGAACTTCTACTGAATCAGGGAACATGTACTCAATGCGGATGCCATAGTGTTTTTCAACCTCATCGAAAAACCGGTAGGTTTCAGGATTCAATCTTCCAGTGTCCAAGCTGAAGACTCTGAAGGGTCTGCCGGTTAATTTGGCATACTCGATCAAAGCAACATCTTCCGCACCACTGAGAATACAGCAGAATACATGTTAGGAGCTAACCAACATACATAAAAAAAATATATATATATATAAAATAAAATAAAAAGGTCTAATGAATGAATGACCCATTCTATAACATGTAGACAATGTTTGATAGCAAGCATAAATTTGAAATGTTGAAAGATCAAATACAAGCACGAGTCTGAAAATAAAATATTTGTGATACCAAGCCTAAAATTCTTGACTAATTAAGCACCAATTTAATGTATTCCAATTTGCAACATTGTGTATGTAATCACCATTTATGATGTTCTACACAATATGAGTTAATTTGAGATCTTAAACAAAATTTAATGAATTTAAAATATTTTAATAATTTACTATCAACACCATATAAAATCAAATCTTGTTTAAAGTAAATAATACTCGTATTACATCTAGTGGACCAAAATATTAAATAAATTCAATAAATTATCCCTAAAAAAGGTACTAGTCCCAACTCCCAACAGGACCCATAATAGTCAAACCACTGAACCGCTCTAGAAATCAAGTCTACATTCATTCTAGGGTCAATACTGTAACTGCACAATTTACACTATTTTATTAATTTCATTCATTATTTTACCCCTAACCAATTCACATTTGAACCTCCCTGAAATCCAGTCTACATTCATTCTAGGGGCAAAACTATAATTGCACATTTTATACTTTTATTAATTTCATTGCTACTGTATTATTTTCCATGATTAGTTCACATTTGAACCTTCTTATAATCAAGAATACATTCATTCCAGGGGTAAAACAGTAATTAATCCTTCATTAATCATATAATTTTCCCTAATTAATTTACTAATTGGAACAATTTCTTCAATAAAAAATCTAGGAAATTCATCTTAAACAAGTAAATTAACCATAAAAATAACAACTAAAAATAATCAAATTAATGAAATAAAATTATACCTGAAAGCAATGGCAATATCATTTCCAAATTTAGCAAGTGCCCTGTCCATAATCTCAAGCGGAGAAGCATTTGCAAGCTCTTTCGCCAACTCCTCAAAATTCTCCTCTTCTTCAACAAATTTCACTTCCTCTTTTACCCCTTCCTCTGAAAATTCCAACCAAGGTCAATACCGTCATTTCACATTCAAAATTTCCTAACCAAAATTTTCAAAAATAAAATCAGAAAACAAAAAAATTACCAGTCTTAGGAGCGGCAAAGGTGGTGGCAGTGAGTGGCGCAACTGAGTCACTCCGCCGTGACTCGGCGGCGGCTCGTAACGGCTTCACGGCTGAACCAGCTCGCCTTGTTGATAAATTAATCGTAGTCGTTAGATTATTGTATTGACGATCCGACGGTTGAAATGCACCTATGCTTGGAGCTGTATATAATCCACATTAAAATTAAAATCAATAAAATCAAACATAAACCATAGGCAGGATACAAGATAATAAAATCACGCATCGATCGGTGTAATAAATTCGAAAGAATATAATAAACTGACCTTTGAGCTCGGATGATAGAGAGGATGTAAGAGCCAATGCCATTTTTGTTGTTGAAAATGTGTATGCAATTGATATTCTTTGTTATTGAGGTTTTTGAGTTTGGGTTGTAAAAAAGTTTGGAAATTTGATTTGTGGAAATTGTGGTTTGTTGAAGAATTGGAGAATGGGAGGGAGGACAAATAAATGGGAGGCGAGAAAAGAGGGTGAAAACAAGGTTCATTGAACCTGGACGTAATTTCGGAGGAGAGAGAAAAATTTTGAGCTTGCTTACGTGGGGGAAAGTTATTGGTTGAAGGGTATTGAGGATTGTCTCAGCGCTGTCGTCACGTGGCGTTTTTTGGCGCGTGGCTTTCTTTCTCCTTTGTACTAGATCCTGTCCTCTTGGTTTTTTGACACCCTCTTTTTTAAGGTTTTTAATAAATTAATAATAATTATAGGAAAATGATATATTAAGAAACTAAAAGAGAAAAGTATTATTGAAATATATTCATTAATTACACTGATTTGCGTGTGATTTTATCATGCATTTCTAAACTAATACAAAATAAGGAAAGATATATAATGCTTATTTGTAGCCCTATGGGCTACATATAGCATTACCCATAATTATAATTATAATTATAATTATTAATTATTTTTCTTTTTTTTTAGATTAAGCAAAAGGAGCCTTATATTGATAATTTGTCTATCAAAAAATACGGAGAAACCTCACAAGGATTATGATTCTCCCAAATTTGATCAAAACCAAAAGGCGTTAAGCGGGCTAAATTATGGGCAACAACATTCCCACCCCTCTTAACATGGCTCCAAACTACAGAAGAAAAATAAGAACTAGAAGATAAAATATCATCTAATATAGAATCTAAGTCAGCGAAAAAGATAGTTCCCTTACATAGCCGTTTGATGACGATTTCACTATCAGATTCGATGATGATGCTGGAAAGCTTGAAGCTAGCATTTGGCCAGTTTAATAGCTAATGTCGTATCCTTGCCCTTTGCTATGATCGGAGGCCAATGCGCTCTACTTCGATGAGTCGTGGCAAAGAGAACTTCACCCTCATAATTTCTTGCCACTACACCTAGCCCAATCCACCCATTTTCACTCAAAGATGCATCACAGTTGAGCTTGATGGTCCTTTCTGGCGGGGCTTTCCAGGTCTTTGAGCTGCTGCAAGAGTGCTTCCTAATACCACCATAAATTCTCTTTGCATATGACATACAATCAGTAGCTAGGCGAAAGACCCGATCAATGATTGTGGGATGGTACATTTCTTACCATTGAAAATCATCTCATTCCTCCTGTACCAAATATTCCACAAAAGAAAAGCTCCCCTGCATTTCTTCTTATTGTCCAGCTTAGACCATGAGACAATTAAGACTAAAAAGGACATACCTAAAGGCCAAATGGACATTTCAATGCAATCACACTCCACCCAAAGATCACGCACAGTTGGGCAATCAAATAAGGCATGGCACACGGATTCAGAACAACCAACACACCAAGGACAATCTATGAAATCAGACATCTGTCTGAAATTGAGATACGCATGAGTGGGGAGAGTTCCTATACATACTCTTCAGAGGAAGTGGCGGACCTTGGGTGTGACATCCATGTTCCAGATTTCCACCCAAGCCTTATGAAAGTTCTCAAGATTGCAACCTTTCTCAAGAATATAGGCCGTTAGCATCAGGGCTGCCTTTAGAGCTTAGAGGCAATGCAAGAATGCTATGAACATCACTTTCATTGAATAAACTTTCAATACACTGAACATCCCATTCTCTTGAACCATGGTCGATCAAGTCACTCACCAGCGAGACATCCTCCGAGCTAGGGGTAGTAATGAATATGCTTTCCCCATTATCAACCCAAGGGTCATTCCATATGTTCACAGACGATCCGTTTCCAATTTGCCAAATTAGCCCCTCCTTGATTATGCTCTTCGAAGACCAAATACTAAGCCATGAAAAACTGCCACCCACCCCAAGACTAGCACCGAGAAAATTCTTTCCATTGTAGTACTTCGCACTAAGCACCTTATTTAATAAGGAGCCCGGATTGCTAGCTAGTCTCTAATCTTGACGACCAAGGAGAGCGTCATTGAGCACCTTTAAATCTCTAAACCCCATACCCCCTAAGCATTTGGGAGTACAAAGGTTCCTCCAACTCTTCCAATGAACCCTTCTTTTTGCCTCATCTTGCCCCCACCAGAATCGCGCCATCATAGCATGGATATCATCGATCACCCCGGCTTGAATTTTATATACTCCCATGATGTAAGTTGGAATGGCCTGAATCACTGACTTTAGAAGCACCTCTTTCCCCGCTCTTGACAGAAATTTTTCTTTCCACCCCGATAATTCTTCCATATTCTATCTTTGAGTGCCGAAAAAATCATCTTTTTTGACTTTCCGATTATGGTTGGCACCCCAAGATATATATCATGATTATCCACTCATCACATAGCAAGGATTCCTAACATTTCATCTTGGACTGTTTCGTTAACTCCTCTACTAAAGGAGACCTCCAATTTTTCATAGTTAATTTTCTGGCCGGAAGCCTGTTCATATATCTCGAAAATTTCAACAATTTTCGAACACTCCCTTCGGTTGGCTAGCCCTGGCCCTATGAATAGAGCCATCATGTAAAGCTTTCCGAAGTAAGCCTGAAAAAGCATCTGCAACAAGAATAAACAAATACGGGGATAGGGTTACCCTTGACGGAGACCTCTGGAGGGCACCACTGAACCACTAACATTGCTATTGATAATAAAAGAATATTTCACCGAGGTCACACAATCCATGACAATATTAACCCATCTATCCACAAATCCCATCTTCAGAAGTAAGTTGTTGGTTGTTAGAGGAGGAATGTGTTGAGATTATTCGTGGTGCTTGGCATGATTTGGGAGGGCGGGTGTAGGACCAAATAAAGAATGTAACGGGTGGACTTCAGATTTGGAGTAAGAGGAAATTCAGTGGCCTTGAGTTGCAAATTGAAAAACCGGAGAAAGCTCTAAAAGAGGCGCAAGGTGAGGCTGCTTCGGATGATTCTTTTTCAAGGTGAGCCGAACTTGAAAAGCAACTTGATGAGCTTCTAGAGAAGCAAGAAGCTTATTGGTACTTACGGTCTAGAGCTTCGGAAATTAAAGATGGAGATAGAAACACAAAATATTTCCATCAAAAAGCCTTGCAGAGAAGGAAGAGAAATGAGATCTTGGGCCGTTTTGACTCGGATGGCATTTGGCGTGAGGCAGAAGCTGATTTGGAAAAGGTGGTTCAGAGCTTCTACCAAAATCTATTTACAGCCAGCACGCCCTCATAGGATGCTTGTGATAGGATTCTTGACTAAGTAGACCGACTCATCACTCTAGAGATTAATGCGGAACCTTTGCGCCCCTTCCCGAAGGATGAAATTTTTGCTGCTCTTAATCAGATGCACCCTTACAAAGCCTCGGGCCCCGACGGTATGCATGCTATATTTTTTCAGAATTTTTGGCATATTGTTGGTGATGATGTCTCTAGATATGTTAGTAACGTTTTACAGGGTAACGAGTCTATTAGCCTTGTTAATTTTACTAACATTGTTCTTATTCCGAAAGTCAAGTCCCCTACTACGATGTCTGAATATAGGCCTATTGCTCTCTGTAATGTTTTATATAAAATAGCTTCGAAAGCCATTGTTATGAGGCTTAAATCAATTCACCCTGACATTGTCTCGGAGAATCAGAGCGTCTTTATTCCATGTCGGCTTATCACTGATAATGCTCTTATTGCCCTTGAATTGTTCCACACCATGAAATCGAGAAGTAAGGGAAAAAAGGGTACGATCTCTATAAAGCTAGATATGAGTAAGGCCTACGACATAGTAGAATGGAATTTTGTTAAAAAATTACTTCTGATTATAATTATAATTATAAATATTGAGTTTGAAATAATTCAAAATTTTGTTTATATTGTCTCGTCGTTAATGTATAATGTTGAACATTAACATACATTGGGGTTAACTAAATGAGTATTGTAAAATAGTAATATGTATAGGTTGTAAGCCTTGTACCCTATAGTCCCTATGCTATACATTATGTCGTAAAGACTTAAACTATTTCACAATTTTTTTACATAAAATATATAATCAAGGTTAATATATGAATAGTGCACGAAATATAATTGAATCAATTATTCAAAAATTTAATACGGAGTATAAGATTTCTTATCTTTTTACCTAAAATAAAAAAAGGTAAATTATGTACAAAATCCTTCAAGATATTTTTTTTCAAAAACAAAAATCCTTAAGAATAACAAGAGTTATTATTGGAAATATTAAGGTAAATCAAATAATCTATTAAACATATAGATTAATTTGTGATTTTATCATGCATTCATGAATAATTAATACAATGTCAACTTAAAAATACGGTGTACTAATTTGGTGATTTTTTAAAAAATGGTGTTGATATTTGACAATTATGGTTGTTGTTTTGATACTAAGTATATGTAACAATATTAATGTTAGGATGTATATATAGCTATAAATAGGGCATGAAGGGGGATGTTAATGAACCCAAAGAATCAAGTTCAAATTTGGTAGTTTTGCTCTCAATTCTTGCAAGCAAAGGTCGTCATTAATCATTTAGGTTAAGTCAGGTGAGAAACGTGTTGAAGTAATATATGTTTTTCAAAACAACACATGTAACTGTCCCACATTTATTTTTATTTTTATTTTTTTTAAAGAGAGAGAGAGAGAGAGAGAGAGAGAGTTAGGCCCTGTTTGATTTGATGTAAAATGTTTTCATGTAAAATGATTTTCCCATTTTCCTTTTTTTAGTTTGTGAAAGTGTGAAAAACAGTTTTCCCATGGAAAACATTTTCCCTTACAAAACAAGGGAAGCCACATTTTACTCCATCCTCCTTATCTCCTTTTTACTTCCCTCACATTCCCACTCATATTTTTTGATATTTCTTGAACTTTTCTTGTATGCAACCAAACAAAAAAAAAAAAAAAAAACTAATTTGCAATTGTGCTTTTCCTTGAAAATATGTTTTCCATGAAAACTAAATTTTCATTGCAAATGTTTTACATCAAACCAAACGGGACCTTAGTTAAACATTTTATAAGGTTAATGGGTTAACCATATGATTTTGAGATGAAATTTCTTTGAACTTGTAAAGTGGACACTTTCTCTTGATGACGAGTGCGATCCAAACTTGTATTTAACAAAATATTTGTGTAATATCGTCTTACCATCACAAAATTAGGGTCAAATTGCACATAAGGTATTTTTTAAATTTTGTTTTTGAGAAATCACACAAGGTAATAAATTTCCAAACTTTTAGCTTAGTTGAGAAACAATTTCTTACAAGCATGTGCTAAGAGGTGATGATCTAAGTACACCTTTAATTAAAGCTATCACTCGCAAAAATCATGTAATCCATTATACAACTATTCAAGTGGATGATTTGTGGCTTGACTCGCTCAAAATGGAGGGTGGGGAATGGTTATACAAGCAACAAAAATTGTAAATATATGGAATTTCGAATAATGTTTAGTTGCAATGTTTTCTTATCCTCCTTTTTTAGGAATTTCCTTCACCTTATATGTTTCGTACGGACTATAAATATATGGAATTTTATTTATTACTAATCTATATTGTTTTTATTAGAAGTAGCACTTGGCTAACAAATAAAGAGGTCGTGTGTTAGACATGAACTGTACTGTGGGCAGCTAAGCGATGGGAATTGCCTCAACTGAATTGCAATGTTGCAATTTTATGCGTTTGTAGACTTTGTAGTTTGTACTAAGTACTCCGTGTATATATATTTTTTTGGTGCAAACGAGGGGCTAGGCCCCAGTACTCCGTATATATATAATAAGATAACATGTATGCTGGAAAATAGAAATTATAACTAAGCTATGGATGTTATTGGCCTTGACCTCAAAGTACAATTATTATCTTGTCCTTCTCATAGTATTAATGCTTGAAACTTGAAAGCTACTGATGTTGAAATAACGAGTAAGTATTAGCGCATAGCACTTATGTGCTTAGAAAATATATAGGATGACACTGGTTTTCTAGTGGTACAATTTAAAGTACAAACCGTACGTACCACTTTGATTAAATGTACCAATGTGATTTCAGTGGTACATTTTCGGAGTATTAAATGTACCACTAGCACAGTTAAGTGGAATATTCAAGTTTTTTAATGTCTGATAAATTACGCTTTTACCCTCCTATACACTTCGTTTGTCAATAGGTGCTATGCGCTGATATGCACTCTGAAATAACACCGACCACATATCAATGATGACAATAATTCATAATATAAGTATCATACACAATTTTTCGAAATAATATATATATAGTCGATGCATGCAGTCCACAAACGAACATATAATTGCGTGCTAATATGGTTAACCAAACTTAGCCTGGACTAGAGTTAATTTCGGATATACTAGAATATGAAGGAGATTCTCTATTCTTCCATTCATTCTACATTATGCATGGTTGAGAACACATAACTTATTGCTTGGTTATTGTATACCTAGCCAAAAAGTGACCAGTTAGTATTAATTAGTAGAAGGGAAAAAAATTACGAGCACAAATTTCTTTATTTGAACTAATTTATTGCCTTGTAACGTATATATATAGTATCACATGATTAGGGATTATTGCATCATTTGCATGACAATATAAAATTCAAAATTGCATATAAATAATTCTGAATTGCGTCCTTGACCCAAGTGTACATAAAACTTGAATGGACCTAGGGAGCATAAGAATATGGTTCTTGAAGAGGATATATGGATTGGAATTTTGTCCAAAAGATTGCTTAAATGTTCATCATTTCATCAAGCATTAAAGCTAGGAATGTCTCCCAAGTCCAGAAAACATATAGCATTTGTCAGATGTCCTCTTGATCATAAGGTACACTATATAATACTAACTGGATAGAAATTAATATTGGTCTTAAAGATCTAACTTGAAGATTGTATTCACGTACCAACGTACGGAATATATGAATCTCTTGTAATTAGTAAGTTGTAACAAACCAATAAAAAAAAAAACAAAAAAAACTATTAAGGATAAAATGGTCTAAAACTCACATTCTTATAAAAATGGCTATACTTTATGATGGACACTAAAGTTTCAATCTCCAATGGATTTGTTTTGCAATAGTCATATGGATGATGACTGTACATACTTTAATGGACGATAGGAAATTCTTACTATTATACGAGTGATTAATATTTATAAATTATAATAGAAATTAATAAAAAGTTAAAAGCTTTAACTTTCACTTTGAACTTACAATCTTATACAGTTATACTAGTATATGCTTTGTCCTTTTTTTATAGACGCATTACTTTAGTTTTCACAGACTCCTATTTTGATGCATTAGATCGAAATAAAAAATTAATATACAAAGTATATAAAAAAAAAATGTTAATTTGTGATAGCTTGCTTCATTAGTTTTCACAAAACACTATCCCAAAAGCTAAAAACAATCTTTGACTGTTGATGCTAATTATAATTTTTTGAAAGAAGATGCTAATCATAGTTCACAAACAACAATAACCAAATTAGCAACGTTTCAAACAAACAGTACGGTTACTAACAATTTTTGAAAACGTTATCCAATTCAATATGATTCTTCATATTATAATATAAATAACGCTAATGATAAAAACAATACGACATATGAGTAATCAGAAGATTCACAATAAGGCAACTAGTCAAGTCTAAGTACTGATCATCCACTTTTAAGAGAGGATCAAATCAAATTAGTGTTTGCAAAATCTAAGCTGAAAGACGTAGAATTCTCTACCTATAATAATTTGAGTTATAAACGAATTTAATAACACCCGTTGATATTAAATTATACTACTACTTTAAATGATATTATTATGATACTAACATACTAATTCAGTAGTACCATCAAATATAACAATATTTTGTTGGTATCAATATAATTCCTTATTGGTATTTAGATAATACCATCTAAACACAATTTAATAACAACGTTGTGTTATTAGAATAATTCATTACTCAGATTATTAGAGGCAAGATCCTCGCCCGACCTTTGAAATTGGCAAAGGGTTAAAGCGTTACCACTTAGATTAAAATCTCAAGAGAATATACCAAAGCTTTTTAGTGTGCTTTTACGTCATCATTTTAACAACTGATGAGTTGAATAAGTGAGTGCCGGCTATAGAATTTAGAGGGACCATGCTACTATATATTGTATGGTGTATGCAAATTCAACCAGATTCACATTTTTGTCTATTTCTTGGATGTTTCCTTGCGAACATTAAATATGACCACCAGTTTATACTTTGAATTCATTAATCACCACTTGTAATAACATTTTTCCATTTTTTTTTAATCATTTTTGAATAGTTAAGTCATACCCAACCTGGCAAAACAAAGTATTAGATGGGTTTAAATGTCCTAATTAGCCTCAACGTCTAGATTTGTATATATATTTTTTAAATGGTAAACTATGAGAAGGGCCCCCCACCCTATCACATGAATGGAGATTATGAGGAATTGAACCCCATCACTTGGGGTGGGAGGGGGGAGATGGAGGACTAACCATCCCTCCATCTCCTCATTCCTCTTATTGTAAATTTGTATGGATGTGTAATGTGTGTGTGTGTTTTTTATTAATATTTTTGGTAAAAATTGTACAAAATTAATAAGGGTTCTGATGATGCATTTGATTCGTCTAGTATGTTATCCATTTCTTTACTATTTACTCCATAATATTTATATATAATATAATTATATTCTTTGCATATACTTGAGTGATAAATAATACATCAATAATTATTTGAATACTTTTGGGTAAAAACATAGTGTGGTTTAAATGTTGGATAATAATCTCTCCTCTTTATAACACCAAAGTAAAGTTGGCAAATATTCTGTATTGTGAAATCTTCGTGGTTGTGTTATTAGTTAAACATGTAAGAAAGCATCAACGCTAACCCGACCCAAATAATCAATGTGCCGTGTCGTATTGACTTGTTTAATAAAATGTGTCAGAAGCTCTTGACACTTGCCCCTTTTTTTTTTTAAATTTTTTTTTTAATCCAGTGATTGTTGTGTTATACAAAAAATGGTTTGGCTCATTCAAAATATTAATCTTTAGTTAAACGTGTTTTTTTATAGGTGATGTTAATATCGTGTTGGGAATCTCAACACTAACCCAACCTGCTTAATTATATGTGTCGTAGAGTGTTGACATGTTTAACTAAACGTTTTATTAATCTTAGATACTAACCCATTTTTTCGTATCCGTTCATGTCTTGCTGTCGTGTCAACTTTTACTAGTTATTTTAAAAACTACTTCCTCCATTTCTATTTAGTTGACACGTTCAATTTAGGCACACATATTAAGGAGAGCGAATGATAAAGCAAGTGGGGTACACTAATAAATGTAAGACAAAAAAGCTTACCAAAAAAAAACGTGTCAACTAAAAATAAACTTACTAAAAAGAAATACGTGTCATTGTGTCAACTAAAAAAATGGAGGTAAGTACGTATGTATCAACACCGGATTCTTTCAAAAAAAAAAAAAGTATCAGCACCAGATAGGTCAAAAATTACCTAAACAATTGGGCCAAAAAAACTGCATAAGCACATTATTTTTGGGCTAGATTTGTTTTTCTTGGGACCAACCTTTCACCCATTAGTACTTCACTTCATTGGACTGGATTTGGTCCATCAAAAAATCTACCAAAACTATAATTTCAGGCAAAAACCCATTCACATTTAATACAAGTACGAAGTAGTAAGATTAGTAACTGAGAAAGCCTTGCACCATTTTCTCCGTTCACCGGCGACCGAACAAAGAAGCCTATTAACCAACTTTCCGCTTTCTCTCTCCTCCGTTGTTCGTCGGATTTTCCGGCGAGGTTTTTCTCTCACCATTTCTATTTCTTGATTCTGTGAGTAAAATTCGATGATAATTCTTGTGATCTTTCGATTGTTGTTTTCATCTGATTCAAATTTGTTGGTTCAATTTCAATTCAGGAGCTGTTGACTAGTTTGAAGCAAAAACTTTAGGTATTTGTTCAATTGTGCTCATTATTGATTCATGTTTTGAATTTTGAGTTAATTGATGTCAATTGCAGTGGAAATCTTGTGATTTTGAAATTAGGTTTTATATTTTGATTGAAATTGGTTTTTGTTAGGAGGTGTTGAGGATAGATTTGAAGTGAATTTGACAGGTGTTGTTGAAATAAATCGAAATGAATGACCTAATTGTGCGAATTGGCGAATTTTTATTTGATCTGATTCTCCTCTTATTGGTTTTTCTAATGCAGCTTACATTGCATTGATTTCCTGGTTTTGCGAGCAGTTGATCATTGCATTTTGTTCAGTTGGCGAAAATGGTTTCGTTCGAGATGAATGACAGAAAAAGTGAGCAAAATTTAATGTTTTCTTGATCTTTACCTATTGCACATTTTGGCTATGAAGAAAACTTGTCGAATAATTTGAAAGAATACAATCAAGAGTTGACATATCTATTTTTATCGTGTCAATTTGATTTTCATACAATTTAATTTGAAGTTGCAATTTTTTCTGTGATTTTCAGGTGTTGGACTAATGCAATAGTCCTATTCTTTCTAGAAAGAATGTACTTTGTATGACTAATTGACTATGTAAAAAATTAAAACAACAATTTCATTATACTAAATTTTGTACTACATTTGTTTTGTTTTACCATTATTTTGTTTAATAGATAAAGGAGAATTAGTGAACTTACAGTTGAGCAAACCTATCAGTGAATGTTTTTAGGAGGAGATTTTTTGGACACATTGCCTTGTTTTAGAAGGTGATAGTGATTATGAATACCTTGAGTGGACTATAGGATAACTATCTCTTATGAATCGGAGTATACACTCAGTTTTATGACATAAAGACCAACAAGAGTTTTGGTGTAGAACGTAGTATACAAAATGAATATGTGACATTCTTGTCGAGATGTCGTGGGGTGGTAAATGGTTGTGACATTTGTGTGTGGCAGAATTTCTTTTCAATTCAGGGTTCTTTTATAGGAAGTAATTACAAGCGAACATATCCTGTAATTTTTGGATTGTAATTGATTGATAAGATCATAAGACTACAAATGATTTTGAGATATATCTGTTGTGTTTTGACAGATGCCTAGATTTCCTTTTTATTGAATGTCATTCTTCTATTTTATTTCAGTACTTCAGGTTTACTTGTTTCTTTAAGAAGCTTATGAGCTTAAGTTTGCGCTTGTAAGGATCTTTAAGACTCTAATCATTGGTATCCATCCTGTGTTCTATGCCTCATCTTTTCGGCCCTCTAGTCAACAGAGAAAGTATTATGCTGGCTTTGAGTTATGTACCTCCATCTTCATATGCAGTGGATACTTTGTGTGAGTTCGATAATAGTTTTTGAGTAGCTTTTAGCCATAAAACTACTTTAATTTCAAGTATAGTGACGGCGTAGTAGTGATGACTCTGGTGAGCACTGGTATTTAGAGTTTAGGGTAGAGGTTTTCAAAAGCTTCCTTAATAGCTGTATAAATATCTTATTTATTTATTTATTTATTTTGTCAACGTATGCATTTAATAACTAGTTTAAGAACTAACTTCTAAGTGTCTAACGACCACATCATACCAAAAACATCTGCTACAAGACTAACAAGACCTATTATGCCTATTAGAATATGTAAGAACAAAATAAGCTACGAGAATATGTAGCTAGTACTCTTATAGCTAGTTTGGCCCAATAAGTGTGGTCAGTAGCTTTTTTTCTTATAGGTTTTCTGCAGAATTTTGTTCCTGTAAAAAATTCATCTGGGGCCATACTTTGTTGAGAATATATGTTGAATGTAAATTCATAGTTATTAATGTATGGTTTTCACTTCTTGGTGCACCAGTCAAGAATTTACTTTGTGAAGCCCAGATTGAACAAAGTGTAACTTCAATTATTGGACTTGTCTAATCTCTATACACTTATTTTGTTTGTATCTTGGTGATATATCTCATCATAATGAGATTTGGCAAAGAAAATTGGTAGTGCGTTATCCCCTTCATATACTTGTGATTTTGGCCATGCTTTTCTTGATGTTTTCCCAATTGAATACAGAGATTGGATTAGGCTTGACTGGATTTGGCGTCTTTTTCACATTCCTTGGAGTTGTTTTCTTGTTTGACAAGGGATTACTTGCCATGGGAAATGTAAGTGCCTTGCTCTTTTCACTATCTCATGATTCTGACCCTTTTTATTCCTCCTATCACTCAGTACTTATCCTCATTCACGATTATGTTGCTCTCTATGCTTTCTTTGCACAGATCCTCTTTCTGTCTGGGTTGGGACTAACTATTGGACTGACGTCCACTCTGCAGTTTTTCATGAAGCCTTCAAATTATAAGGCATACTTCTCTTCAACATTGTTTACCACTTTCTTTCCTTTTTCTTTTTCTTTTTCTTTTTTTGGTTTATGCATTTCTAGGTGACTAGGTGTTTTATACTTACTACTATTTTTTGACGATGCTCAGGGAACAATCTCCTTTGGTGCTGGCTTCTTTTTTGTTGTGATAGGCTGGCCAATAGTGGGCATGATTTTGGAATCTTATGGTTTCCTTGTACTCTTCAGGTATGTAATTACTCTCAAATAGATGTTACTTTCTTATACGGTGTTTCCTGTTACTGAGGATTGGTTATTTTGGACAGTGGTTTTTGGCCTACATTGTCAGTTTTTGTCCAGAGGATTCCTGTTCTTGGTTGGATATTCCAACAGCCATATATCAGATCGGTATGTGTATATATTCCTTTTGTCACAGATAATATTTGGTTATGTTAAGTCAGATCTGTAACTCTCATTTCTTTTAATCTCACAAGAAGTGTCTTTTTCATCTCATATACAAATTTATATGAAGTAATATTTATTGGTTGTAGTTGCTAAGATTGCTGTATTATCTGGTATTGTTTGATTACTTAATTCTTATGAATTAGTAAAGTGCTAACTCACTATAAGGCACCTGGATAGAGGGTGTGAGTTATTCCCTTCCCCTTGGCTGGCTTATAGAGAAAGAATTGTTGACGAAGGCTATCAAAATTATATCATATTTTGATGATAGGAAGCCAAAAGCAGGAAATGACTAGTCTTTTATTTAAATTTTATTCCTTATGCAGCTCTTCATCTCAAAAGAAATGAGTTGGAATCAACCCGGATGATTACTCTACTAGAGTTGTTGGGTGTGGATTATATCATGTTTGGATTGAGGATGCAATTACGGCGGACTTTTGCCTTGCTTAAAATGAAGATTAAGGTCTTGGGTGTCTAGAAATGGGCTGTCTAGAGAAGATGAATTAGCACTCTTGTTTTTTTCATTAGTATGACTCAGTTGATGGAAGCAAAAAATAAAATAGTTGAATAAATCACATGCATAATTGATGGTAATTTTTCCTCCTGTGTTTAGACTCTAGATGGGCATGGTTTTATCCTCGAGGAGTCAAGGGCAATATGAAAAAACTGTGTGGAGCGATAGACTTGCCAATGATATTGAGCATAACCTCTGTCTCCATACCAATATAAATTTACTAAAGAGTGACACAAATATATACTACCATTGTTACTACTAAAGTGGAAAATTGGCCATATATCGGCACTAAAATGAACTTGTAGATCTTTGTTATTACCATAGCTACTTGAAATGTTACACACTATTATTTTCAAGAGAAAAGCTTCTCTGCTAGTTTTGACTTGTTTGGAGCCAAGGCTGTGACAAGGAATGTCACTGAATCCTGTTGTTTGATCATGGAGACAAGTAGAATGAATACTCCCTCCGTCCAAATAGAACTCCGATTTCTCCAAAATTTGCATCCCTATTTAAAAGCCCCATCTTTTGTTTGGGTGGACTCCATCATCCACTTACTTCTTTTTCCATTCACTTTTAATCTACAAAACCTCTCTAACCCCACTATATTTTCTCTCACTTCCCCTAAAGCCAATAAACTATCCCCATTAGGCATTTAAGCCATTACCTTCCTTATCTATTCAACTTTGATCAACAATACCCAGTACAATCCCTCTCCTAAATTTTACTCCCCTGTAAGATGTGGGGCTGCTGTTTAGGTACGGAGGGAGTAATAATATCAGACATTCTGTGATTTCTGTCTGTATCTAAGGAAAACTATGATGCCACTGCTATTATATTGTGCTTATTCCAACATATTGAAGCGATGTCGTTTGCCAGTTTTTCATATTTAAGTGGAGGATGTTCTTTGAATTTCTTTATTTCTCCATGCTGGTACATTTATTCTGGTGGATGTGGTATCTAAGTTATCTGACATCGGGACTGGTTTTATTTCCCTAGACTTTATACATATTCATTAAGTTGTGATTAATTTAGTTCATATCACATAGTTGTGCCCTTTTTATTAGGGATGGGTGGGGGTTAGGCTTGGAAGGAAATAGCCATGGAATGATGGATTCTATTTGTTGGGCTTTTGGATTTTGTTTGTAGGCACAGTGCTTGCATTTTGCAATATGTTGTTGTTCATGACTTTGCAATGTATCTTGTAGAAGTTTACTTATATTTTCTAATGTACCGGTTGGACAAGTTGAAAGAGCTCCTGTAGTTAGACTCTCTGTCTTGCAAATCATGACTCTTGCTAGTTTAAACTATTTGACAAATAATGGCATTAGTGCCTTGATGAATAGCACTATATTTATATCATGCTTTAGGAGCATGACTTTAAGTTTTTCACAGAACTAGTTCAAGTAGGGTGCTTTGTGCTTGTTTTAGTCTTCTTTCTTTCTTTTTTTCTTTTTGGGCGAACAAACTTGTCAAAGAATTTCTGTTTTTTTCGTCCACTAAATTTGTCAAAGCAGTCGTTATGCATTATATTTTTGATGCACTCTGCAGATGGACTCACTTGGCAGTGAGATTATTAGAGCTCCCGAACCCCTGCCAATAGGGGATCCATTCTAAGTGGTGGCATTTTACATGCTGAACATGCTTTTGCTCTTCATTTCTCTTCTAACTTAAGACTAATTTTTCCTTCAGAAGCATAAGTTAATTGGTTTGAGTTAATTGTTTTACTCAAATCAACTTTGTGAAGTTTATTGTATGAGTTGTTTTTTTTTTTTTTTTTTTTTTTTTTTTTTTTTAACTTGTTATTCAGAGTTTGGTTTGGATTGTAACCTTTTTATTAATGAACGGAAAAAACCTTTGGTTTAAATGACTTTTGTTTTGTCTGACTGTGCCTCCTTTTCGTATTATTAATCAAATAGCTTGGATACTTAGAATTCTGGCATTTGATTACTATATCTGTATTTGTTGAGTTCAAAGAAACACTATTTTCCTTTAGTCTGAACTTACTGTTTCTATTTGTGCAGTTGTTAAATCGATACCGTGGGAAACGCGTGCCTGTTTGAATCCAAAGCCGTGAAATGTTTGCATTTGTAGTCTAACACTGTTGGAGGAACGTGTAACCTCTCTTGATTCTTCCTAAGTGGTGGCAGTGTACAGGTTCTATAGATGATGCTTCGTACAACCTCATCCTTATCATAGTGTATGGAAACCGTAAGCTCCTTGTTTTGATTTTGAATTGCCAGTCACTATTTCCTCTCTTGGTAGACATATTCTTTGTAGTAAATTGTCTTTGTACAGAACCTTTTCTGATATATAGCAATTAGTATAGTCAATATTGGATTCTAAAATTCTGTTATAGGATGCTTGTACCAAATTTTTCCTCGTTTATGATTGCTTTTGGAATGCGTTTTTGTGTGAAGAGATTAGCGTTTGGATGTTGCATTTTTGTTTTCTGTTCTGTGGTTAACTGTATTCTGAAATTGAGTTCATTATCTGAGATTCTGAGGATGTGCCTGTGCTTTAAAAATGACAGTATATATCAAAACGAAATCCCAAGGTTTTAAATCATAGCACAAATTATACAGTCTACCTGCCACATGGGAATCCTGCGCCCGTGATGGGCATGGTTTCTAAGAATGATGCATATTACAGTGCATAAATCAAATTATTGCGATTATGAAAAGGAAAGAGTTCCAATATGGCACTTGTGAAATTCGAGGCTGTGGCATAATGTATCAAATATTGCAGCTAAACTAGATGTCATTAGATTTCCTGAGCTGTAGAACAATTATGTTCACAAGGGGTATATTTCTTCAGAAGTGGCAAGCAGCATAATAGCCTTTTGGAATCAGATGCTGCATACAAATTGAAAAATAATTTTTTTTTGTTGATTTGAAGGTTCACTACTTTGCTCGGGTATAAATGAACACCATTTTAACCGCAAAGTCCAAACTCAAGACCCTACGAAAAGAACAAGATTCATCATTCGAATGTAACTTTTCCAAAAGTGATTGACTCATAATATAGAGCATATAAAATCAGTGAATCGCGAATAAATAAAAATAAAAACCCTCTATCTCTTTCCTGTCAAACATGCACATAAAGCCTTATTGCCTTATTAGTCCTTACAAGACTCGCAAATTCTGTCATACACTTCACTTGACATATATTGCTGAGGATTTTGCACCAAAGTGTCTAATTGTCTAAACAGCATAATAAAACTCGCAAAATAGTCGCAAATTCTATCATACACCTCACTTGTGCGATGTACACCATTAGGAGTAAGAGCACCCGAGCGTATGTACTGATGTACAATTGTACATAAGTACACTCAGCTCGAAAGCATTATTACTGAAACAAAGAAATCGTGAAATTCATGTTTTTTGTGGTGGGTCCTTTACTCCTTACTCTGGGCCAAATTGTAGGCCTTTAGCTCAAGAAATTTACGCAAATAACCGACACACATAAGTCTAAATTTCGACCGAAAGCAAACACTCAAAACAATTGTTCTATAAATTTACTTATTTTTCGATAAAAACAACATAAAAAACTACCACATGAAACATCATTTCTAATTTTCTATTCAATTTTTAGAATTAAATCATGAAGGGTGCATAGTTTATATGATTATATCATGGCAATTCATCTAAAATCTCTAATACTCCGTATATTTGTAACTTTGTCCAATATTACGAAAAAAAAGCCATAATCATATGCATTATTTTATTTATTGTATTTGGTTACTTCCTCTTATTTTAGAATAATTGATACTCCGTAATTTTTTCTTTTAGCTAGATATTTAATACACTACTATAAATAACAAGGACTAGTGAATCATCATTATGAAGAACTCTATATTAAACTATTAATATTGTATTTGGTTACTTCTTTTATTTTAGAATAATTGATACTCCGTAATTTTTTCTTTTAGCTAGATATTTAATACACTACTATAAATAACAAGGACTAGTGAATCATCATTATGAAGAACTCTATATTAAACTATTAATATTGTATTTGGTTACTTCTTTTATTTTAGAATAATTGATACTCCGTAATTTTTTCTTTTAGCTAGATATTTAATACACTACTATAAATAACAAGGACTAGTGAATCATCATTATGAAGAACTCTATATTAAACTATTAATATTGTATTTGGTTACTTCTTTTATTTTAGAATAATTGATACTCCGTAATTTTTTCTTTTAGCTAGATATTTAATACACTACTATAAATAACAAGGACTAGTGAATCATCATTATGAAGAACTCTATATTAAACTATTAATATTGTATTTGGTTACTTCTTTTATTTTAGAATAATTGATACTCCGTAATTTTTTCTTTTAGCTAGATATTTAATACACTACTATAAATAACAAGGACTAGTGAATCATCATTATGAAGAACTCTATATTAAACTATTAATATTGTATTTGGTTACTTCTTTTATTTTAGAATAATTGATACTCGTAATTTTTTCTTTTAGCTAGATATTTAATACACTACTATAAATAACAAGGACTAGTGAATCATCATTATGAAGAACTCTATATTAAACTATTAATATTGGACATGTTAATTATTCTAAAACGGAGGGATATCATCATACTAGGATTTCTACGTATTACTGACGGACAAATCGAAATCGTTGACTCATCCTTAAAAGTTAATACACCTGTCTGTCGTACCGAAATAACTCACAATTGAGCATATCTGCTCTTTTCTAGAAGTCTCTATAAAATCCCTTGAAAGTGTAAATTTGATCATAGTATCTTCTTCTTCTGTCACTACTTCTCATCTCCCAATTTTCAGGTATTTTCTCTCTCCTCTCTCATTTTTAAAGCTTGTGTTCTGTATAAAAATTCTTTAATATGCATTTGCATGTATTTATAGTGATAAAAATTCAATCTTGTGACACAATTTTTGTTAGAAATTCTGGGTTTATATTCTTGTTCATTGTAATTCTGGGTATAGGATTATTTGCTAAGTTTAATTTATTGACAAAAATGATATAAAGAATCAAACTTGGATTTGGATGTTCACGTTATTTTTGCTGAATAATTTAATTATAAATTATATGATTTCAAGCCTATAATTTGATTCAATGTGAAAGCACATTTTATTACATACCCTAAGTTTTTTTTCGTTTTTTTTTTTTTTTTGGTGAAATTACATGACTTGGGTGTTTGTAATTTCCTTTCCTTCGATCACCTTGCCTTGTAACAATTAGCAAACACATTAAGAAAACTATGTTACAGCCATAAGAAGAACCTTTCATAACCCTATGTTGGGATCATCACAACTAGCCTCAATCAATCAGGGATAAATTTGCGTATATTCGACCTCCCGAGACCCTGGAAATGACGATCTAAGCGAAATTGCTTGGGGTTTTCGAGTTTCGTATGGCAAGGAGACAAGGATTGTGGAGTATATGTTTGTAGTAATTGTGTTGTTCGATTGTAGCAGTATATCTGTATTGTAAGCACTATATTGATCATCCCTTAATTTTTCGAGAACTAGTTAATGATATTTTAACTATGGCTTCTTGTGTTGGAGGATGATGTTTCAATATAACTCGATCTTGATATGCTGTGCAATTCAACTCTGCAAAAATTGTTGGCTTGTAATAGTATAATGTTTTGGATTGGCTTGAGGTTTTACTAAGTGGGACTTTGAAGGCATTTTCTCAACTAATTAGTTACGAGTAACATGCTTACTTCTTGACCACTTGAGACTTAGCAAATGGTGGAATGAATGCTGGATTGTTGTGTGATTGATGATAAAGTTTTAGTATTGGGTATGACTTTATCTTGATGTATATACCGTTCAATACTTAGCATACAAGATGATCTTCCTTTCTGTAAGCTTTAATAGGGAGAAATCAGTTACCATTGCAAATTGAGTCTCTAGTAGTAGTCGATTCTATTCACAACATTCACATGGTTTCCTGGTTTAGTGTGTCCGTGGTGCTAATAGCTTAATATAGCTTTATTTTGGTGAATCCACTAGCATCTGAATGGGCTTTTTTTTTTTTTTTTTTTTTTTTTTTTTTTTTTTTTTTTTTCTCTCTCTCTTTAGTCTTTATTTATTATTGCTGATAGTATTTCTTGAATATATCAAGAATTATATGCTATTGTTGGTCTAGATTCTTTATCAAGTTAATAAGCTAGAGTTTATTGGAGGCTTTTTATCTCTTTTTCTCTCATGTATGGAAAGAGCGGTTTTGCCATTTATGATTGTCTGATAATTGTCTTTTTTTTTTCCCCAGCTAAGTTGCATCAATTTGGAAATGGCTGAGGGGGGAGCTGCTGCACCTAATGCAGAGTTGTTGGAATTCCCAAAGAAAGATAAGAGGAGATTTCTGCATGTTGTGTACCGTGTCGGAGATCTTGACAAGACCATTAAGTATGCCCTTGGCAGACTTCCAGCAGTGATTATTTGTGATACAAGTGTCTCATATAACTAAGATCTCTCTCTGTTTATTTTTTTTTTCCTTCACATGTCAGGTTCTACACAGAATGTTTTGGAATGAAGCTGCTGAGGAAGCGAGATGTTCCAGAGGAGAAATATTCCAATGCATTTCTTGGGTTTGGCCCTGAGGAGTCCCACTTTGCAGTGGAACTAACATACAGTGAGTAAAATTGTACTATATGTCTGATTTTTATAAACCGTCTTTACTTCCATGCTACTATTATCTGTACCTCTGGACTACTTCAGAGGAGGTAGGGTCAGGTTTGGAATCCTTTTAGATATTATTCTTCAGCTGGAGTCATATTTTCTTGATCACAGCCTGCCTTGTGGATTTAGTGAAGGAAGACCTAGAAGTTTCTTTTGGGAGTTCTTATTTATTGTATGGAGATTGTTAACCATGTGTGCAAGAAGGAAAGCTCTTACTCTTAGATGACTCTATTGTCTCTATACACTAACATTGTACTTTTATATTGGCCTACAGACTATGGAGTTGATCATTATGATATCGGGACAGGGTTTGGACATTTTGCAATTGCTACACCAGATGTAAGTGACATTTGTCTACATGAAGGTTCAATATGAATTTTAGAACTTGATTCATAACCTTCTTTTCTTCCAGGTTTACAAAATGGTTGAAGACATCCGAGCCAAGGGTGGTACCATCACCAGAGAACCTGGGCCAGTGAAAGGAGGGTCAACTGTGATAGCTTTTGTGAAGGATCCTACTGGTTATGTCTTTGAGCTGATTCAGAGAAGTTCAACTCCTGAACCACTGTGCCAAGTAATGCTCCGTGTTGGTGATCTAGAGCGCGCTATCAAGTTCTATGAAAAGGTATCCAAAGGCTTTTATTTGTGCTGATTTCACCGTGCTTGCACGAAATTTCGTAATCATGTCATGATGAAGAATTTTATTTTGGATGTCAAAATCCTCGCTTTTGGCCAACCATTAGATACTGTGAATTTCAGTGGCTCCTTTTCTATCATATGCGATGGTCTCATTATTTTACACTAATCTTTTTTTTTTTTTTTTTTTTTTTTTTTTTTTTTTTTTTTTTTTGGGGGGGGGGGGGGGGGGGGCGTGGTGTGTGTGTGGAGCGGTTGGAATGGTCTATGTCTTTAGGATCATTACATGCTAAATACGTCCTTAATAAGGACTTTGCATATTTGCCTGTTTCTTAGTTTTTCTTCTTTTACCTGTTCACCCTTTACCTTAACATGATCATATCATGTATACCTGTGAATCCTACGATAAACGCTGCTACAATTATCATTGTACAATGCAGTGAATGAATAACCATTCAAGTTCTATTTATCGTTTTTAAAGTCCTTTTATTTATGTCGTTCTTTAAACCCTTTTGTTATCTTAATTTGTTTACAACTACAGAGCCTGGTGAATATAGCCCAAACAGATAAAGACACGTTGTATCTGATGCTTTAGTTTGATTATTCTTGGTAGTTGGTTAGCAAACTTCACTATTTAAGGAACTTAAGGAACTATTTGCTCTTATACTTGCAGGCCCTGGGGATGAAGGTAGTTAAGAAAACTGATAGACCTGAACAAAAGGTATGCTAAGCTGTTACTCACAAATCTCTATGAAGCTCTAGTCTTATTACTCTTGAATTCCTGTCATGATTTTGCTAATTTGTTAAACTTTTTCTTGATGTGAAGTACACCATAGCTATGATGGGATATGCCCCTGAAGAGGAGACAACTGTTCTGGAGTTGACTTACAATTATGGTGTGACTGAGTATACTAAAGGAAATGCATACGCACAGGTTTGTGTGAACTTACGCCTTCATATCTATCATGTTCTTTGTGAAGTTACTATAATTACTGATATTCTGAATCTGATATCCTGAATAGGTTGCTATTGGTACTGATGATGTCTACAAAAGTGCTGAGGTTGTCAACTTGGTTCACCAAGAACTTGGAGGAAAGATCACCCGACAACCTGGTCCTATTCCTGGGCTTAACACTAAGGTTGTCTCTTTTCTGGACCCAGATGGCTGGAAAACTGTGAGTGCCCTTATTCTGTTTTACCAAGCAAATAGCATTGAACTGTTTCTAACGCTCAATATGTGCATGTGTAGTCATATTTCAAACTTGGCATTTAAGTTGCATACTGTAGCTGTAAGTTTTGAGCTGTTAAAATAATTTTCAACCTTCCAAAAATCATACTTACAGCAAACCTGATGACAACTATCCCTTATTCCCTTTCTGTTAGAAGTGACTTTACTATGGATGTAATTGTTGGTAATGAATCGCCCTATAAACTCCTTCCTGCTTGGTGTATAAATATATACTATGGCAGACAAAATTAGGCATGTTAGTCATGTGTTTTTTTAGCTGCACCTTTCTGGTTGATGACATGAAATGAGAAATTTCCAAAGTGAGAAGGTGAGGAACTACTGATTTCAGAGTTTTCTTGAATTTTAATTTTGAAGGTTCTTGTTGACAATCAAGATTTCCTCAAGGAGTTGAAGTGATCGAAATCGACTTCCAAGCAGTTTCTTCTATGGATAGCCGGCTTGCATAAATAAATGTCTCTCCACTTTGCTATGCATCTGATCTTTAAGGGTTTATAAATGTATGAGAATTCTAGTGCTAATTATCATGTGCAAATAAGTTGATCTTGAGTATCATATGGTCTACTCTATCAGATTGATCCCACGTACATATACAGCACATATGACCAAAAAAAATAAGGTAATGAAAAGGAGAAAAACACTAGGAGATCCTTTACTCGCATGAACTGGAGCTCGTAATGTATTAGCAACAAATATGAAGATGACTAGAACTAGTGCAGGGCAAGGCTCGATGCCCATTTGATGGGAAACCATATGTTCTCCATTCGCTATGCATTTGCTATTTAATTTGCTTCTTGATTTCCTTCCCTGTAATTGGTACTTTATCCATCCGTTTTTCAATATAATGCTACAACAGACTAGGCAAAAAGTTTGTCAAAAAAAAAAAAAAAAAAAAGGGAAAAAGACTTTACAAGCTGCAGAACCACTGTGAGACTATCCTTCAAGAACACAATATGACCTTACCAATAGCATTCGGAGATACATTGATGCATCTCGAATGGTAAACAAAATCCTTCACACATGATTGGTTCATTGTGATACCAAGTCATCTTTACAATGTTACGCGTGTTGACAATTTCCCTGATATCGTGGCACAAGAAGTTTCATATGAGGCCACCTCCCTATGCTCGTGAGCTTGTATTGATGCGTGTTCTTAGTGCAGGTTAGTGTCATTGCCGAAAAGAAAAGAGATCGGAATTTTTCTCATGGACTACATGACACCTTGGAAAACTATTTGGGTTGTTGAAACATACTGCTTTGTCTTTAGTTTGTCACTTTAGCTGTTTACGTACACACCTCCCTCGGTTAATTCAAGGTCATCACGAGCCTTTATATGGCCGAATAGTGGTTATATATGGTTTCAAACAACATTATACTACTATGGAATACATCCCCTACCATATCAAAAGATTTTGACACCAGATCCCAAAACCTCCAAAATAAGTCTAAAGACGTGGATTATAACCTTCAATTTTGGACAATATTTTACTTTTCTAATTCGGGGTGTTGCGCACGGACCCCACAACACCTTGAGAGATTATTTGGATTGTTAAAATCATCGACTTTGCCTTTAAATTATCAATTTAGCTGATATAAATTTATTTATAAAAATGAAAAAATTATTACATCTAGAGGAGCCTCTTTTATTTATTTATTTATGAGCAAATGCATGTTTATAACAATGAGAAACGTGAGCTGTTTATCAAGGGATGGTATTGTACTTTCATCTGAAAACGTAAGGGCAATAGTGTCATTTGCAATGAACACCGTTAGGTGATTAGAATTGACGACATTAGGTGAAATTTATAGTTAATCCTCCTTTAATTTCTCTCTCCTCTTTACTTCATACGAGTTGAGCTACCATCACCATTGGAGCCAATTAGAGGTGGGCAACTACTTGAGAACTCGAACCATTGGAGTGGTGCAATTACTAGAGAACTCGAACCATTCTACTAAGAGTTAACCATACCATTCTTTTCACCCTTTTCAATGTAGTGAAGTGGTCTGGTGTTCACGAGCTACGAGTGGGAAAGAGGCCTAGTGGTGAAGATGGAGGAGTAGAAAGCAGGTGGAGGAGGAAGAAGATGTTGCTTTAGAAGTTAGCGTCAACGTTAACTTGCTGTTACCAAGCTCCACAAGTGCCAGCTAGCAAGTGAGAGAATATATGATATAAAAATACAATTTGCGAAAAACGAGGCAACTTATTTACTTCTTTGCCATTTGATAAACGATTTAAGTTTATCACTTTGTGAAACCCGAGCTTCCTCTTTATTTATTTTTCCAAAAAGAAAAGATTTTGAGCCTCTGAGCAAGATATAAAAATAAACCTTCACAGAAAGATAATTTGCATTTTTCGACTGTGGTCATCAACTAATAATGTACAATTAGTAGCTCAATAAATATTCGAAAGCTAATAACAGTTTCCTGTTGTAAAGGAGTCCTGTTTGCTTTCCCCGTTGAACTTGACCTGCAGCAGCTTATGGACTTTTGTTTTTTAAAACATAGATAAATAAGAATAAAAAAAAAAAAAAAAAAAAGCTTTTAACCTTAAAAGCAACAAAAGAATGGAGTGAATACAGAGAGACAAGAAATAAGCTGCCTCAGCAAGCTCTAGCTCACGTCAATGAGGAGAAAACATATGTACGCGGTGAAAAATGAATTGGCGATCTTTATCTAGCTCGCATGACTTATCAATTACTCAATTAGGCTGTTGTTGGCAATCCATAGGATAACTACCAAGGACTCGAAGAAAGCTAGCAAATTCCTGCAACAAGATGAACAAATGCCTTAGATCTGAATGGACCTTTTATTACACCATACTTTTAGCAATAATTTGGCAGTAAAATTTATCATTGAAATACAGCCAAGCATAAATACCAAGCAGTCCATCCTATCTCACTGCATACATAATATCATGAATAACAGAAGTATTTAAGTATTCGTATGGTTTTGGATATTGAAGCAGCTAATTCATTTAAGCAACAGAAGCAGAAATAATATGGTCAAAAGTGTAGATGATGATGATCTGATAATTACAACTCAAAGTAAGAACTGACCTGCAGATGCCCCAAAGCAAATTGGGCTTCAGGTGCTGCCATCGATGCTTGAAAGTCAATGTAGAAAAGGTAGTCAAAGTATCTGGCACAACAATTAGACAGTCAAGAGAATGACAACGATGAAAAATGCTCAACTAAAGTATTGCTGAAGAAAGTCTGAAGGCAACCACACACACCTCCATCCCTACCCCAGGAAAAAAATCTCCTAGTAACACTATCAACCAAATCATAAATTTATTTGATTGCGATCAAGTTCTAATTCGTATTCTTGTCTCACCTATCTTATTGTATATCATCTCTTATTGACAACACCAGACATTATTATTAATAGTGAATGCCGATGGTGTGGTAGAATCAGAGACAATGGGACATAAGATGACCAGATGAGATAGAGAATGGAACATAAGATGACCAGATGAGATAGAGAATGGAACATAAGATGACTAGATGAGATGCAGAATGGGACAGAGGATGACTAGATGACCTTTATCATCCCAGGTCCCAGGAGATTTTCGAGCATTTTTTTCCCTACACTTTCTACCGGGGTGCTATCTCTAAAGCAAATATCAATCCTTTGGATTCTCTGATTTGTTGAAATTTCTTCAATCATCCAGCAAAATATCAGTAGTACACTTCCTTATCTTGCAGCTCTCAAAACAAGTTTGCCCCAAAACCCTCATTGTTCACACTTCTTAGTTTCCATCATCCTCTACTGAGCTCGAAGGCACCAATGTTCCTAATTTTCTTTCCAACGTATCTCTAAGCAGATTTCTCATTTCCATTTCTTTGCTTGCAATACTCTTATTTTTCCCTAGTTCACAACCATTATAGTTAGTCCAGGTGACTTGCCAGCACCAATGTTATTTGGACTCTTTACAAGTATGGTGTTGGATTTTCAACACTCTGATATGGCCATATGGATAAGGAAACTGCCACCTAACACTTCATATTGGACCAAAGACAAGGAAATATATCAAAAATAGCAGAGTAGAAACTCTTGGACACATACAATATCCATGTCTCATACCCTAAGTCCACACAACATATCTTGCCAGGGATACACTCCTTTAATTAGAATAGAAGTCCTATTTTCTAGTCCTCATCTACTTATTATTACAGATGAGGACAAATAAAGAATGAGGACTGGGGGTCTTGAATGAAAAATAAGATGTCTACGATGGAACAGAAGAGGCTGATTTCTGCATCTAAATAACTCTAACACGTATCACTATTTAAAACCTCATCCCATACTCCGCTAAAAAAACCCCTAAGAACCCAGCTCGACAGGAAAGAACATTAACTATTTTGTGGCCACATAAATTGATAAACTATGCAGAAGCTTCAATAGCACCCACTATCCAGAAATCCAATGCAAAGTATATTAACTTAGAGGCTAGAGCACTTCAAAGACTGCAGCATGAGCTAATGATGGCATATTAAAGCAAAGTTCTAGAGATCTGAAGTTAATTACTACCCCGTAAAGTATAATCAACTTTATCTGGTAAGAAAATTCTACAACACACTAACACACACAAGGAAAATTGGACAATTCCCTTATGTCATTTGCAGATGAAAAACAAACAAATTCTATGCTTCACCACAGGAAGGGGATAATATGGATAACAACTCAAAATGTCAAACACTCCAATAGGGTAAACTTTCTAATAATCCACAGATAAGTTAATGTCTATTTTAAGAAAACTGATGAGTTTATCCTACTAATTGCAACATGACAATATTGGTCACCAAACAAAAATATTACTTGCAAATCTAAAGCCTTTAGTTTATCACTTACTTTGGACTACCCTTATTTGAGTCATCTACAATGCGAAGTGGGCGCTTCCTTTGCGGTCTGCTCTCAATCTGAACACTCATGGAAATAAACAAGCTGAGTAAACACTGAGTTACAATGATTAGACACACAAAAAAAAGTTCCGGTTAAACTGACCTTTGTTAAATTGATATTACGAAGGGCAAATGCTGCTAAGGCCTTGAAAAGTACACCAGGACCTTCCTCCAAAGAGAAAACAATACTTGTCTGAAGCAAACATACCAGTTACAAGAAAATTCATAAATACAACCTCTATAGTCTTGTTAACTTTGGTAAAAAAAAAATCAAAAATTCAAAAAATCCTGATTCCTGACCAATAACTTTGGATCACAAGACCACAACTCAAAAAAGAAAAGAATCGGCCATTGAAGATTTAGTAATGACAGTGGGAGTAATACCCTTTCTTCAATTTGCATTATCACATAATGTAAAGACAGCTTATGTTTAGTCTGATTTAGGATGAGATAGAACTATACCTTATAAGGCTTGTCTGTGCCTGGAATAATAGGCTCTCTTGCAAGGATCATAAAACGGGTAACATTATCATCATCATCCTGCAAAGTGTGTCATGAAACTGAAAACTTAGGACACTTACGTTGTTTGGTCAGAATTAAGATAGTATTTTTACAAAGTGAATTAAATTCAAACTCAGCACATACAAATCCCGTGACATGCTAGTTAGATATATAAAATTATAAACCACTTGCAGGTTGCAACAACACACTTTTCTTAACAAGTTAGGTTTCATTGACAAGGAAGACAATCATAATTGATGCCGCAACTCAGGCATTGCAAGCTCACTCCAACTGTTCAACATTCAACTTATAATAAGCTTATCTTGGTCCTGTTCTTAAAAGCATTTATTTTTTACATAAAATCAGGTCTATATGTACATAACAAAGTAAATTCAAAGCATGGG